TGCAAAATAGCCATATCCAAATACTAATGGGAAGGCTTTTGTAGACTGTGCTGAAAGCAATTTTGTGACGTCTGTAGTTATTCCGATCTTGAGTACGTTTTTCTTCTCTTCTGGGTTCGACATTAGTGCTCTTACACTTAAGACATGGCAAAAAAGAAAGGACTCCTACAAGGACCACCATTCGCATTTCCAGTTGATTTTTTTTCTTTTCAAGCCCTTTTGGATATCTGAAACATGGTCAGATTGCAGGTTAATAGTGATAAATATTCACATTACACCAATGTTACACATATTGAAATATCCCTTGATTAGATCCAGTAGGAAAGGAGTTATGATTGAAAAGTACGAGTTAAGAAGCATTTCGTCGAATACTTTTGAGCGCTACTGTAGCTCTTCCATGGCTCGCAATGCTGAGGTCTGTTCAGTGTGACGAGAGTTGCTCCTGAAAAGCAGCACTGTGAAACAATGGTCTTCCATCCGACCGGTGGACTTTCCCAATACAAACTCGGCTTTTTACTGCCCACAGGTGGCTTCTGTTCAAATAAGTAGCTCCAGTGGAATGTTAGAAGAAACCCAGCACCTGGCTATTCAGCAGCTGCAAGTAAGCCCTCAAACATCTTTTTTGAAAAAAGATCTAAACAAACAGATTTATAATTGATTTAATTGTGTCCTTTGTCAGTGAAATGAGTCCATTTTCACAATGAATTACTTCAATCAACGTCATTTCAATGATAAAAAACATGGCATCATGCTGTTCTATCGTATCCCCGCCTTCGAAATTTTTTCGAATTCAGGGAAGGGGCATGAGGGAAAAACCGAGACTGTATAAAAGGAGGAAGTTTGTGTGCCTGCCATCATGTTTTTAGCAGACCCGTATCAATCCATTTGTCTCACTCCGTATATTTCAGTGAAGATATGCTTCCGATTATACTATTCTCAACCCTTTTCGTGATCGAAACAGAGGCAGCAATCACTGATCTCAACTGCACACATCGTGTCGGCGCAGATATAAAGGTAGACGAGCAAGTGTTCTTTGAAGAAGAACGTCCTCCACCTTAGACAAGCGAAAAGAAATCAAGACATGAGCTCCTCTCCTATTAGGGAATCTCCTACAAATGCGTAATTAGTTGATGCGTAAGAGTAGAAAAATTCTTGAGGGGAAGCTGTGACGAAAGTACTCAAGTTTTCAAACCCTGCTATTTATTATTCAACATTGCCCAAGGGCTTTTCAATTGAATCTTCCTTTGGGAATACCAGCTCAGAAGTGTGAGGAGGCATTTTAGCTGAGAATTGACGAGTAATATTCTTCCCTTTTTAGCTGATTAGCTCGCTGGTGAATGGCCTTCTAGGAAGCAGTCCGTCCATTTCAAGTTTTCTAATTTCCTGTGTGTACGGAACTGTTCATATACGTACTGTCCGGAACAAATGCTCACTTTTCGTGCCTTCCAGTATGCTGAGTCGGCGGTAAACTGCAGGAACAAAATGACTGACGCCAACTGCCAACTCATCTATGGGGAGGCTGTGAAAGCGAATACAAACAATCAAGATCGAAATGCAAACTGCGCGGGAAATCCTGTAGTAAGTTATCGTGTAAAACTCTACAACAAGAGATTTCCTTATTATCCCCCTTCAGGTTGAATTGAGAGTACTCTACATATAGTTATAACCCGAGAAAATTGATGTCATTTAAGAATCCTCAGCTGCTCCACACCGCAATCAGCGTTTGTCCCAAGCAATGTGGATACTGCTGCCTTACACCAGCCTTCAATTGTCAGAACAAATTGCGTGAGTTCAAACCTTCCCCATTCTATTGCTGTAAACAAAGTGCACTCTCATGTGGTACCAGATTAGTACTCAAGATATCCACGGATATCGAGTTCCACTTCAGGACCACGATACCCATGTTCATCAGTGACGCAAGATATGTGCGAAAGTAACGCTTGGAGAGATATTCTCGCGGAGGATTGCCCAAAAACGTGTGGTCTCTGCGACTCTGGTCTGTCTTTCCTTTGTGCTCGTCATTAATTGAGAACCAGGAGAAATTGGTTGAAGGGGAATCGGCTTTTGGAA